TGGAAGTATAACATAATTAGTTGTACTGATCATTCAGAATTTTGCTCTATTGAAGTTACTCATTGAAATGAATATGTTAGAAAAATACTAGGTTATGGGAAAAGTCATGATGCATTTTTAAAAATTTAACTTTATTTTTTAATTTTAATTTGACCAGAGAGGGAGAGAGAGAGAGAGTGCGCGAGCGAGAGAGCGAAAGCAAGCCACCAGGTCCAAGACTCGAACCACAGTCAGCCATATGGGAGTCCAGCACCCTTAACCACTATGCCACCTGCTGGCCCTTAATGCATTTTTGCATAGAAAAACATATAAAAATATGTCATGACTTTTCTTTTTTTTTGTAAAACCAGGCCACTTTAATGTTTTTGTACAATTTAATGAATAATCTTTTGATGACTGCAGACATGTAAGACCGACTATATTCAGAAACATCAGTCATGATGCCTTTCCAGATGGTGTTATCATCTTCAAAATTACAAGGAGTTATTTGTATGTAACTGCTATCAAACCAATAAAACAGCATTTATACATCCATCATTTTCAGGATTGTTGGTAACTTGGGCATATTTCCCCCAAATAACCTTGCCTCCTTGTGTCACAAGGCCCAGCTCACTCACGTTCACCTCAATGACAGCACCTTTGGTGATAACACCCAAAGCTGTATATAGTGGGGATGAGGGATTCTTCTTGACACCGAGTATTGGCAGGCAAAAGGTGGCTTTCAGTTCAGGATGTATTACGTGGGCCTTCTTGAAACAGAAGCCCATTGGCCTAATGAATCTTTAATATTTAGGTGGTTTTCTAATAAAGCCATCTCTAACAAAGCAGACTTTTGTGACCATCCTCTTCCATGCCTTCTTCTTTCTCTTTCCTGTTTGAATAACTTTTAACACTCTGTTTCTCCCTGGCCTCAAACTTTGGGTAGAGAGACTTCCCATTTTCCCGCTTTCTCTTTCCGTTTTTGTTTAATCACATTGGAAAGTACTTTAGCTCGGGACTGTCCTTCTCTGTCCAACAGATAGGCAGGTACTGCTCCTTGTGGAGTCTTTTCATCATTCTTCTGTTTGGTGTTCCTCTTTTCATGCATCCTGATAGTCTTTTTCATTTGTATTTTCTCAGCATGGCGCTGTTTATGATAGAGCTTAGCCTTCAGACCAGTCATCTTTTTGCCTTCTTTGAATGTTCATGAGCCTCCCGACTTTCCTTCTTTCTCTTTTTCTCATGGTAATCCAAACGGTATCCATAGCGTTTATGGTGTCATTGCATATATTCGTTTTGTGGCATGGTGACCGCTGCAGCGTCGCCGGGAGCAGCCTCCCCGGGAGAAGCCTCCCGGACACAAAGAAGTTGTCAACTTTCAGATTGCAGAGACCAACAAGCAGACCCGACACCTGTCATGACTTTTCTGATGACCCAGTAAATTATTTCAGATACATGAAGTGCTCCTGCTTTAAAAAATAGACTTTTTAAAAGTGTTTTTTTAGAGATGTATTTAATTTATTATTTATTTTTAATTTGCTATAAGGCATATGGGCTCACCAGAGAGAAACAGAGAGAGAGAAAGAAAGTGAGAAAGCAAGCCTCCAGGTCTGAGTCTTGAACCTTGGTCCAGTGTCTTAACCACTATGCCACCTGATAGCCCCTAGACTTTATTTATTTATTTTTAAATTTGTTTCATCATCATTATTATTATAAAGCAGGTTTTTTTTTTTTTTTTAAGAATTATTTCATTTAACTTTATTTATTTATTTTTAACTTGACCAGGGGTGGGGAGGTAGGGGGGGAGAAAGTGAGAAAGCAAGCCACCAGAGCCAGGACTCGAACTGCAGTTGGTCATGTAGGAATTTGGCACTCTAAACCACATGCCAGCTGCCAGCCCCTTCATTATTATAATTATCATTATTCAGTTTGACCTGAGAGAGATGGGGGGACAGAGAACAAGCCACTAGGTCTGGGACTTGACCCACAGTTAGCCATGTGAGGGTCCAGTGCCTTAGCCACTATGCCACCTGTGAGCCTCTAGATTTTATTTTCAAAAGTAGTTGAAAAAAAAAAAAGTAGTTATAGATTTAGAACTATGCAACTGAGCAGAAGGAACAGAGATTTCCCACAGTCCCCTGTTCTTACACTCATATCCTCCGTTGTTACCAATATAGCCCAACAGAGTGGTTAATTTGTTGTAATTGTGGAACCCACACTGACACGTGGTCACCACCCAAAGTTTACATTCTTTTTTTTTTTTTTGGTCTTAATTTACCAGAGGGCACACGTGCTTGCCAAAGAGGGAGGGAGGGAGGGAAAGAAAATATCCCCCTGCCACATGGGGCATGATCATGCTGCAATCACTTCTTCATTTCTCCCTCCTTTCAGGATTTGGAGCACACACACACATGCACCTGTTGTGTTTTTTAAGCCGCCTGATCTGAAACTCAAACCACACAGTTGAGCATGTGGCATCCAGGCACTGAACCACAAGGCTACGGTCTGGCTGGTGGTATACATTCTTTGAGTCTGGAGAAATGTACTAGATCCACCACTGTAGTAAAAACTCATTTTTTAAAAAGCTTTTCTTAGTTTTGAACCCATCATTTTACAATCCATTGAAAGGTAATTATTATCTCTTTCCTTAAGAGGGAGAACGCTTGAGACCAGCAGATAGCGTGGTGGTTAATGGTGCTGGACTTCCACAGGGCTGACTGTGGTTCAAGTCCTGGACCTGGTGGTTTGCTTTCTTACTTTTCCTCTCTCCCTCTCTAATCAAATTAAAATAAATGAAGTTAAATAAAATAACTTAAAAAAAAAAAAGGGAGGGAGAACACTTGATCGTCATGTCTATTAGAGATCCATAATGAACACAGCTTTTATTCTAGACACTGTACTCTTTCTTGAGGCTACATTATTTTTCAGCCCTTTTGCTTTGGAGTAAAACTGCTAGTAATCTGGATGTGTTGCCTTGTGATACACTATAAATGAGACTGGAGTTATAGTACGAGCTAATTTTGTAACTGTAGGCAAGTAGGCAAGTCACTTAACCTCTCAGAACCTTGTAAAATGAAATGATTGGACCTTCCAGTTTTGAAATTTTGATTCTGTTGCCTTTCTTTGAAAATCAAAGGAATTTGGAGTTTCTCAAAGAAACTTTATATATATATATGTGTGTGTGTGTGTGTGTGTGTGTGTGTGTGTGCTTTTTTTTTTTTTTAAGAATTATTGGGGGGACCAGCAGTTAGCGTAATGGCTATGTCGCTGGACTCCCACATAGTCGACCGTGGTTCAAGTCCCAGATGCGGTGGCTTAAACTCATGCCGGACGCGTGTGCGTGTGTGCCCAAGATCCCTAGAGGCGAATGGAGGAGAAGGGATTGCGGTGTGGCCATCCACCCGGGAGGTGATTTCTCATTTTCTGTCTCTCTGTCTCTCTCTCTGTCTGGCGAGCATACATGCCCTATAGCAAAAAAATCTCTCCGGGGCTGACAGTGGCTTGGTGGTTAAGGGTGCTGGACTCCCACATGACCAACTGTGGTTTGAGTCCCAGACTTGGCAGCTTGCTTTCTCTCTCTCTCTTTCTCTCTCTCTCTCTCTCTCTCTCTCTCACACACACACACACACACACACACACATACACACTCTTGAATAACCTGGTCATATTGAAGTAAATGAATGAATGAATGAATGAATGAATGAATAAAGTTAAATAAAATAATTCTAAAAAGAATTATGTATTTTATTTTTATTTATTATTACTCAATTTGACCAGAGAGTAACACAGAGAGAGAGAGGGAGGGTGAGAAATCAAGCCACCAGGTCTGGGATTTGAACCATAGTTGTCCATGTGGGAGTCCAGCACCTTAACCACCACACCATTTGCTGGCCCCAGAAATTTATATCTTTTTAAAAGTGATAAAACAGTTCATGCTGGGGACCAGCAGGTAGCATGGTGGTTAAGGTGCTGGACATTCCCACATGGCCAATCACAGTTCAAGTCCAG